CAATAAATCTTTGGGTTCTAATCTTAGCAAAAAGGAAAATGAGATCTTACGTGAAATTCATTCTGATACTAATATCATTATCTCTAAAGCTGATAAGGGCGGACAGATTGTTGTAATGGACAAACACACATATATTACTACTGGAGTCTCTAAATTGATAAATGAAGGCCCATACTGCTCGATCCCTAAAGATCCTTCAACTTCGGACCTCATGAAAGTAAAAAGTGCTATTAAATCTTCCCACATTCTGCCAACTCAGTTGAAGAAATCACTTATTCCGCCTATTACTAATTGCGCTAGACTTTATGCTCTTCCAAAGTCCACAAAACCGGTATTTCCTTTTCGACCAATTGTTTCCAACATAGGTACTGCTTCATATCCTTTGGCCAAATATTTAGTTTCCAGATTTTCTCCTCTACTTGATAACAATATTCACACTGTAAAAAATTCTGTTGAAGTCATTGATAAACTTAAAATATTTTCCCCACTTCGTTCCATTATGGTTTCATTTGATGTCAAATCATTGTTTACTATGTTCCGGTCGAAGGAGCACTAAATTGTCTTGAAACTAGGCTTCGGGAATTTCACTTCACACATACTGAAATTAATGAGTTGGTTTCGCTTACTAAAGTTTCTCTAAGTCAAACCCACTTTGTTTTCCAAAATGCATATTTTCGTCAAGTTGAAGGATTGGCTATGGGTAATCCTCTCAGTCCGGTACTTGCTGACATTTATATGCACTATTTTGAGATGAAATTATTTGATAAATTATCTTTTCGTCTTTGGATTCGGTATGTTGACGACACTTTCGCACTTTTTGAAGGTTATAAAGAGGATTTATCCGAGAGTCTATCTATTATGAATTCAATTGATCCAGCCATCCAATTCACTCTTGAAATTGAATCCAACAATTCCCTCCCCTTCCTCGATATTCTTATAATCCGCAATGAAACCGATTTTAGCACCACTGTGTACCGTAAACCCTTTGCAGTTTGTTTACCACCCCATGCCAAGTCATGCCACCCTGTTAAGCAAAAAATGGCTTCTTTTTACTATTATGTTTTCCGCGCGCTAAAAGTTTGTTCCTCTGAATCTTTGCTTACCAATGAACTTAATTATTTGAGAGCAGTTGTGATTGACTGTGGATTTTCTCCCGTGATTATTGATAAAGCCGTCAAAAAATTTTCAGATTCCCATCAAAGAAGACATTCCACTGTTAGAAATAATATCAATGACCTTGTCGTGCTTCCATTTTATCCTTCTGTAGCTATAAAATTGCACGGATTCTCTCAGAAATTCAATTTTCAAGTCGGTTTCTCCCCTATTAATAAAATTCACCCTTCGATACTAAAAGATTGCGTTTCTGTCTTGAATTCTTGGGGAATTTATAGTATATCATGTCAGTGTGGTTTAAGATATATTGGCCAAACAAAAAGAGCGAAGTTTCGTATCAAGGAACATGAATCTTATGTCAAAAAAGGGCAAATTAACAAGTCTTCAATAGCGTATCATAGCTGGACTTTTAACCATAATTTTGATTTTGGGTCTGCAAAAATCATCCAAAAGGCTTCTTCCATAGGCGAATTGGATTTTCTTGAGGTTTTCACATTCACAAAGATTTAGAAAGTTTAGTTAATGATTTGAAGTCCAATCCAGTCCTTCCTAATGCCTTTAAAATTCTACTGTCTTAATTCAATTATTTTTGCCGATAGATGGCGTTACCTCCTCGCACTTGGTACTACCAGAGGGTATAAAAATCCGTTCAGTGGTTGCTTTCCCATTATTTGAAGTTCAGATTTTTGAGCGTAATGTGCATTTGCCCCTCGCTCCCTATTCTAACTTCGCTAATATTTTCTTTATGCTTGATCAGACAGCCTGGCTCAGTAAAAGTAGGTGGCCAGTGCAACTCTGATTAAAAATCTAGTTATAACCACATGCAGTGCTGATAAGCACCACGTGTTTCTGTGATTCCTATTTTCTTCTTTCTATGTATTTCTTTCTCCTGATGAGGAGGGACCTTTAGCTGCCCTCGAAATCGATTGAGTGTTTCATTATACCTACGCTAAATATAAGGTTGTTTTTTACGATTTTGAAACAGAAAATGGTTTAAAATAAAGAGTAGAACTGAAATCAAATCCATTGTGAATTATAAAAATATCAAAGAAGGGAAGGGTATTGTCAGATTCAGTTTCTAAAGTGAATGGATGGTTGAATCGACCAGATTTATAACAGATAAAATATGGGAAAAAAGCTTTTCTTATTACTATCAAAAAGACCTAAAGTGTCAACCACACAGCAGATCTAAAGACAAAAAGATAGTTTCTTAAATAATTTGATCTCAAAATAGTGCATTTAAATGTCAACAAGTACAGGACTGAGGGGATTACCCATAGGTAATCCTTCAATTTGGCAATAATATTAATTTTGGAAGTGTGTTTGATTCAAAGAGATTTTAGCAACAGAAATTAATTCTTCAATTTCTGTATGTGAGAAATGGGATTCTCGAAGCCTAGTTTCAAGACAATTTAGTGCTCCTTTGACTAGAACATTAATAAAGAGAGCTTTAATATATATAAAAAAATAAAGAATACAGTGAGAACACGTTTATCGACTTCAAAAGAATGTTTACAGTGTGAATACTGTTAGAAAATAAAGGAGAAAACCTGGAAATTAAATATTTTGCCAAAGTATATGATGCCATTCCTAAGTTGCAAACTATAAGGTTGAAAAGGAATTCCAGTTTTGTGCACTTTGGAGAAAGCATAGAAACTAGCAGTCAGCAACAGGCAAAATAAGTGTTTTTTTTTAACTGAGTTAGGAGTATATGAGAAGAATGAACAACTGTTTTTACTTTCCCGAGATCAGAAGCTGAAGAATCTTTAGGGATCGAGCAATATGGGCCTTCATTTATCAGTTTTGAGTGCTAATCAATGTATGTGTGTTTGTCCACAACAACAATCTGTCCATCCTTATCATCTTTAGAAATTACAATGTTAGTATTATAATTAATTTCATGTAAGGCCTTCCTTACCTTTAAGATTCAAAACAAATGCTTTGTTATTAAAATTAACATTGTGAGTAATTAAGTGGCAGATTGTGTTCTTTTGTGTTTCCGAAATTTTAGAGAATTTAAAAACTTTTTCAATAGGAGCATGATTTGAGGAACTGAAGGTTTAGATGTCTTTGAAAAGTTTAGAAAACTGAAGGTTTAGATGTCTTTTTAATACTTTCACCTGATTGTCCAAAATATTAATATTAGGGATATGAATGATGGGGTTAATATTTACAGACGGAAGATTATCAAGATGGCTTTTTGAATTTAGACACAAGGACATTTTTATGGCACTGACAAGCGGTATTGGTTCTAGACCAACATTTGTGATTAAAAGAGGGAAAATTTAAAGTAGAATTAGGAATTTTTAAATGAAAGTAATATAATTCATATTCAGCTTTAGACAAATGTTTGCATGTGCTTCTTGTAATGTGACAAAGAAATGAGAATTTGAATTTATGCATAATTTTCAAAATGTGAACGAAATATTCAAAACTACATTTGACTTGTATAAATTTAGAAATGATATTCTGATGTTTGCATTTAAGCATAAAATGGATATGGTTCAAAAATTTCATCTGCTTGAAGCATAATTTACTGTCTGTTGATATATTCCGAATGGGGAACAAACATGAATAACTGGAGAGCAAACAAGAGATAAATAAAATTGCGAAAATGGTAAAATATGCCCAAAATTATGACAAAATGAGTCAGGAGAAACATAAACAGAAAAGGGAAACTTACCTACTTATGAAAAAGGGAGAACCTAGCAAGCATATGGAACAGAGAAATTATTCAAAAACTTCTTCAGTTGGTGAATTGTATTTTCTTGAAGCTTTTCCCATTCACAACGATTTATCTTGTTAAGTTAATTATTTTACACCTAATCCAGTCCTTCCTAACACTTTTCAAATTCTACTGAATTTTTTTATTTTGTTATATGTTTGCCAACAGATGGCACCACTTTCCAGTCTTGCAGATTTCTCTACTCCTGATGAAAAGGGACTTGTACCTGTTTGTCTCAAAATCAACTGAGTCCTTCACTAAATTTAAATCAAGCACAAAGTTTCAAGCTTTGCTAATTATATGTTTCACTTTAGCAATATTCTCTTCTGCTTTGAAGTTTAATACATTGAGAGTGAACGTGATTGTAACAAATTTAGGTTTAATTTTTTCACCATTATACTTGTTAACAAAGTTTTTATTAAAAGCATCATTTATGTTGATAATGTCATTCTTATGCGAGTTGATTACAAAAACAAAACATATTTCCTAAATACACAGTTTTTTTTTTTAAATACTTTATTACTTTTTGCATATTTACTGCTAGTGTTATTTCCCTTAATACCATTATTCAAACACTTTGGATGATGGGAAAGCTTCATAAGCAGATTTATAATGAGCAAATAAAATATCTATAAAAATCGTTCTTTAACTTCCATTTAATAAGCGAAATGTTAAATTTCTTGATCAATTGTATTAAAATGACTCACTGAAAAGGGAGAAAGATGTTTAAATTTTTTTCGTAATTTTTATTAATGATGCTCTCCAACACTCTCTGTTTTGTATTTAACATTCATTCTAAACAATCTAATATGACTTCAGATAATAATGTAAAAGCTGCAGGGTAGATAAATAACAAATAAAATCTCTTTTTGGTATAACGCATGTTTTAAAAACACCAAAGTGGGAAAAATGCATCTTACTAACTAATAAATAGGCAGAAAAACTGTTTTAATTGTATTCAAATGAATAACAGTTAGTACTTATTAAAATTTATCAAAAATATTCTTTGTATTAAATTATTTCATCATAACATGTATTAGCTTCATTTTAGTCACAAAATTTTCAAATTTTAATATTGCTGCTATTGTTGCAATACTGATATTTAGTTTCAGCTAACAAACCTAATATAAAAGAATAATTTATAGCAACTTTATTATCTTACATTTACTAAGCTGCATGGTGTTATAATAATAACTCTCTTTAGCACTGGTAAACCACCATATGGACCTTGTTTACTTAGAGTCCTGCAAAATAAGAAAATTAAAACTACACAATTCGTTTCTTGAATATTATTGTAGTCATTCTTAATGTTTTATTAGTAGTCAGATGAAATAGAATGCTATGAAAATGATAAAAACATACCATATAAGAGCTATACATTGAAGAGTTTTTCCCAAACCCATTTCATCTCTGAAAGCAAACATATATATCCTTACAAACTTAAGTAAAACTTTCACAATAAAAAATACTATTACATAAATATAGCTTTAAATTAATTGTCTTATTTAAATCAAGCATTTTAAATATATGAAAAACTACTAAACACTGTTTAAAAAACAGCACAGACTGAACACTGTTTCCATAGTTTGATCTTCTTACCCCTTACAGCACGAGTTTTTTTTTTTTTTTTTTTTTTTTTTTTCAGAAAAACTGGTAAAAAATTATAGAGTTTTTTCCCTGACAGAAAAATGAATATATAGGTAAGTTATTTCTTTATTTGTACTAATTTGATACCACTTTCTTGCTACAGCCAAAATCTCGTCATCATTATCTTCAGATTCACTTCCATGACTTAAACTTTCTGATAAATTGGCATATTCAAAATTGTCAGAGTCGCTCATAATCAGATAACTTTTTCTACACAAGCTACAAAAACACTTTGTAAAAATTAATTTACGGTTAACTGTTTGCTTTTATGATAATAAATACAAAAAAAAAAAAAAAAAAAAAAAAAAAAAAAAAAAGGATGTATTACCTTTTCTATTCCAAACAACTGTTTTATAACCAGAGTCGTAGCTAGGGTTTTCAGCACCCAGGGGCAACTGAAGATTTCGCGCCCCTTAATGCTTGCCCAGAATGGAAAACATTTAATTCTAAAATGTCGTAACATCAATTTGGCACCCCTTGGGTTCTGCGCCCGGGAACAGACGCCCCCCCTTGCCCCCCTCTAGCTATGCCCCTGTTTATAACAAAGAATCCCTAACAAACTTATAGCTAATCATCAGAATGCTCCACACAATTTACACACACGAAAAGCAGCAGCATCATTGTGACCTCTATGGTAAATAAGTTTAATTATAATCTAGCTGTCTACTTTTACTAGAACAAATCTCAGACCATTAGGAATAAAATAACGCAAGATCGCCCACGCTATATACGGACATCAGAAAACTTGATAGTAACTTTCACCTATGTCAGACACGGGCAAATGCATTAAAGGGATAAGCAGTTACGCATAAACCCTAAAGAAATAAACAGGGTGCATGTATATTGTATGATGCTTGCCTGCATATTAATTTTTTTCTTGCACGATAGTCATTGTTATCTATCCTCAAATGTTAAAACAACAGTTGCACTTTTTATTAAAGAGGATATGATACAAGCTTAAGGATAAAGATATATCTCGTGAAGTTAAGACACAAGTTCTTTATTCCACCAGCCTGTAGTATTAATAAACATAATTTTTTTTTTTTTTTTAAGTTAGAAAATGATTGTCAAAACTTAATTCCAGATTCCTGATATTTTTCTGGCAATCTATATATAAAAATTATCTAATTATCTATTTCAGTTAATGTTGCAGATTGCATTGTTCCTTAATCTTCTAATTAGATCCGGCTTATTATTTTTTGCAGACTGTTAGAGCAATTTTATAAAAAGTAAGCTTGAACTTTCGATTATGTCAAAAAGAGTCTCCGATTCTGGAGCTGCCAAAGGACCTACAAAGCGAAAGCATGTTTTGATGTCCATCAAAAAAAAGTGGAATTGCTTCAAAAAAATGGATAAAGGCATGAAGAAAGTGACAGAGAGGTTAGTGAAAACGAAAAATTCCGATTGACAAGTTAGTCGGTATTCTCGGCACAGCAATTAAAGGACTTGAACAGCGGAACTTTGTAACTGAACAAGAAATCATGTCTGCTTATAGAATTAAAGTGAAAGTATTAGCACATAAAACGAAGCAACTTAAACAACTTACATTGAAAGAAATGTTTAATAAAGTAAACAAATAAATATTAAGCTTTTTTTTTTTTTTTTTTGTAAATTTTGATACCCTTTAGATCATAATTGCTCTTTATTTCATAAATTACAGTTTCATATTTTTAATTTTATAATTTCTGCATGCCATCTTACCAGATTTAAATTGATGATCTATAATTAAAAAAAAACCCTAATCCGGAATCGCCGAAGTCCCGATGAGTCCGTATTAAAGACTTTGTACTGTATTTACAAGTGCGTGTAGATTGGCTTGTTAAATATGATACAATAAAACCTAATTTTCTCTCTCAGGTTACACATGTAAAAGTCTTCACATATATTATCTAAATTCATGAAGTAAATTTTAGTCAAAATTTCTCAGGAATTATTATCACATTTTTAAGATGGTACATTAATTTGATTTAATATAGCTCTGATTCTTATTACAGTAATATTTTCCTAAAGTTACAGGTGATACACAAATTTATAAATATTAACCCTCTGGTTGCTCATCCCGCGATTCCCACGGGCAACTCAAATGTAGCAAAACCTGCTCATCCCACGATTTCTGCGGGCAAGTGTTTTTCTTCTTTTATTGAGCACATCCTGTTTTTTCCCCATTTAACCACTGAAATAAATTATATACAGTATTAGTCATTTAGTTTACGCTTTGGCCAACATATAACGTTAGTTGCCCACTAAATTGCAGAGTTTTAAGGCACTTTGTATTACCGCTCACACTCCACTTTTTGCTGCTTTTTTCTTACAGAAATGGCTGCTAGAAAACATTCAATAATTATTTTGATTATTTAATTATTGAATTATTAATAGATTTATTGATTAGATTGATTATTAATTAGATTTATTGAATCTGGTTCAAAGACTGTGAAATTACACTTTGCCTTGAACCCTGCTTTGAAATCTATCATACTAAACTGCATTTCTAAGATATTTTTTCCTCAGTGCTTTATATTTTCTTAAATTTTATATTATGTAATAAATAGAAATTAACTGTAACTCGACACAAATTTATTTAAAAAACATATTTTTGGGGGTGATAACATCTGAAATTGGTTTTTCTGGCAACTCAGTTTCTCATGATAAAAATCTATAAAAAAAGAAAAATATTTTCTAGAAAGGCAAAATGCATTTTTCAATTCTCCAATATATATATAGATTTAAAATATACCAAAAAAAATTACACAATTTTTGAAGCGATTTCGGTCCACAAATTCAGCAGTCAGATGGTTAAGAAGCAATGTATAGCAATTAGAAACAAACATGAATAATCACATCTAGAATCAATTTTGTAAAGACATTTTTGAAGTTTATTTAATATGTAAATAATATACATACGCAAGAATTGCACCATGGCCATATTCATGCTGGAATCCTAATATGCTTTTATACATAAAAATAATTCCTTCTTTTTGATGGTGTCTGAGTTGTCTGGTTAAGAAGGCATCAACACAAACATCAACTACAGGCAAACCTTTTTTATTGTATATTTGCTAAACAATAAGCAAAAAACATATGTTATACATACTTTATATAAACTGTATGAATCATTAATGAGAAAACTATATAGAGATATCGCAAAAACTAATAGAGAAGTTTAGAGCAGTTTACAGAAATATATATGCAATGAAAAACCATTTACATAACTTGGCTCAATATCTTTATGATAGAATAAAAAAAGGAGGTTTATAATTAAAAGCTTTTTATAAATACAGAAAAAAAAAAAAAAAAAAAGACAGGATATCAAATACTATTACAAGTAATCTGAACACAGATATCAATTTGAACTTTTGCATATTTTATGCTAAATAATTTACTTTTTACAATGTGTTTGTTTTGTAAATGACTAATATATCAAGAAAACTTTTAATCAATTTATTTATGTTTTAATTTTATCGTGGCATTTACTTAAGAAATTACATATTATAGCTTGGTTAAAAGTTACGGGAAACTGATTGAACAATCTTTTGCCCACAGATTTAGATGTCCAGTGAAAGAGGGATAACCAAATTTAACATGCAGTGTATTTTGAAAGAAAGCTCATGCAGACAACAAGAAAAAAGTCTTTAAGACAATAAATGGAGCAAGTTAATTAATAATAAAAATTTTTACTGCACTTAATCTATGTTAGAATTTCTATTTTTATAAATATTTAATTGATGTTTTGAAAAAATCATATTAACCCCTTTCAGTAAAATGACAAGTATAGCTAGTTATTGGGTTTTCATGCCAAATAGTGTAATCACAAACTACACTTGTCATGTGATTAAAGTTACTGCTGAATATGTCCTCGAAATTGACTTTTGAGATGAGAAATTACGTAAAAATGATGTAGATCAACAAAAGCTATGTACAATTCCACCTACTTCTTTAAGTAAACTACAATATTCTGATTTAATTTCTCATCCCAAAACTTTGATTTGAAGAATATGGTAAAACCCTATCATCATATTCAACAATAATTTTAGTCACATGACCAGTATAGCTCATCATTGATGGTATAGTATGAAAACCCAATTATAAACTATACTTGTCATGTGATAAAATCATGTCAAAGCATGATGTGTCATTACAGAAAGCAACTCATTTTAAGCATTTTGGAAAAGTATGATAATAAATTAGATTGCAACATTTTGCTTCTTGATGAAATGATAATGCTAGGAAAGACCTGACAACTTGTTACAGATCAGATATTGAAACTGTTTTAATCATGCGAGTCAAACAAAGGATGTTGAAAATAAAAATGAAGATTTGCCTGTTGTGAAGTGGCTAGAAAACAATTATATTTCACTATTTTCAAAATGTGATATGAAGCTTCTCCAAACATGCAATAACGATGTTATTACTTGCAAGTGATAAAGATATTGTGAAAGAAATTAAAAGAAGAAATGCTGACACTGAAGATTTTTCTTTTGATACTGATGAAAATATTGAAGAAACGCAGCACATAAAAAGCAAAACTGCAGCATCTATAATACATAAAAAGCAAACTGTGCATCTATAATAAATTGTTATTCACATAAACTGTTGAACTGAAAATGATAGAGTCTTGTCACTTCTTGGGCAAATATATAAAGTGTTCCTGCAATCTATCATACCAGCATAAAACTAAATTATTTTTGTACTCGGAAGTTAAGTAAAAGTAAAAAGAAAATTCATTAATATTTTATTTTTTCATTTTTAGTGTTTAATTTATTTTACAGATACATTCATAATTATAAATGCTAATTTTAGATGGAAATGGATAAATGGAGAGATAATTTTGTATGCTAAGTAATTTGTTGGGTAAAATTATTAACATATGATGAAACTGAAAAACAATAGAAAAGAAATTAGTTGCTTGGTTGGGTTTGATTCTGGTTCAAAATCTCTTCAGTTATCTGCACCAGACGCAAGGCTAAAAATATTAGACACTAAAACATCTGCAAAACCAACACAAATAGAAACATATCTAAACATTAGTGCATCTTAATTTTATGAAGCATAAACCACAATAATTAAATTAAGCAGATAGAATTCTGATAAAAACTAAAAAACATTTATACAAATGCAAAAAACCATCAATTTAAGACAGACAGAAAATGTTATAAACTATAGATAAATATAAAGATAGAAAGTTATATAAAAAACTTCAAATTTATGGTTATTACACAATAGACAACATTATGTGCTCTCACATTAACCAGATATATCTCATATACCTTAAACATATGCAAAAACAAAATTTAATAAGAGGGGGGTTCCTATCAATCAATTTGCTTATTTTCTGAGATGATGCTTTTTTCCCCCCTTACCAGTCTAGATATAGAAAATCACCAGATACAGATAACCAAACTTTCATTTCCTTTAACTCTGCAATCCCAGCTTGAAACAAAAGTCATATTATGATACAATTTTTAGACAATAAGAAATTTCTTTTAAATTACATTATAGTGATTTCAAATTATCTGAAACTATGCACTATTTCTGTGACTTTGGCAATACTACTTTTTGAACAGGTAAGAGTCATTGGGCAACAGAAAATACAAATGCTAACAAGATGCTGCTTTGATGATATGTGTCAAATCTTACAGAATAGTATTACAAATACGTCTGCATATTTATAGTATCATTCTGTCAGAGTGAAATATAATTGAATGCTTATTTATTAACTCACCACAAAAGAACAAAATATATCTGGCCAGTAATGATCCAATTTGTATTTAATGGATGAATTAAATTATTACAGTTATCATTCATCTTTGTACGTTGATCCTCACATCAGTTGCATAAACATTTTTCTTTAGTAATGCAAAAAGCCAATTAAATGAATAGCTTGTTTTAAATAATTTTCATACACTGAGTTTCAATTCTTCCAGAGTGTTCTTTCCTATCTCACTTGCTTTTGAATTAAGATTAGAGAAAATCACTAATGCTTCAAATGCTTATGTTATCTTTATTCTAATGAAAATCTTTTTTTATTATTGTGAAGTTCCTTTCTTCTTTTTCAGTTCATTCACACTAAATTCATTTGAATAATTAAAATATAATCATATAGAAAATACTGGAGAGCATAAAAAAATGCTTTTTTTTTAATCCTTAAATCTGAAAATCTCTAAGTATAATAAAACAAAGAGTCTGTCTGTGTGTGTCTTTCGTTCGCGCTGCGCGTAAGCTAATAGACCCACGGCTACGAAATTTGGTACGTAGGTGCATCTAGACAAGAGCCAGTGCACCTCGAAGTGATTTTTTCGAAATTCAAATTCGAATTTTTTTTAAATTTTATGTTTTGTAACGAAATTGCGTCATTTTGAGACATAATGGGTTATTGGAAAGCGAGATTTTACTCTACGCACTCCATTTTCACATCGTCATGAAACGTAAGCACTTAGCTGTTTTACGAACTTAAAATAAATTTCATGTTTCAATAAATCGATTAAATACGAATTTATTTAACAAAGTGAGCTTAACACCTTTACAATAGGATTTTTTCTAAAAAAGTTTATTTTTAAAAGTGTACAGTTTATTTTTCTTTGATTTTTGGACACCTTAAACATTCATCCTTGCGACTGCTTTTACAAAAAGAATTTTGGAAAAATGATAATATTTTGTATTTAAAAAATTTTTTTTAAATGAAGCTTCCGAGTACACTTCTCACATCTCACATCTTTAAAAATGTGGTTTTGGCAACAATTTTCCTTTCTCATTGTTGTTGATAGATTTTTGATGAAATCGCATCATTTTGAATAGTTTCATTCTTTTAGAAATATGGGTTTGGCAACAATTTTTCACTGTATTTCTTATGTCACTGTTTTTAATCATATTTTTTATGTCGCTGTTTTTAAGAGATTGGCATATTTCGTTGTCATTTTTTTTATATATAATACATTTTTATTGATATTTTTTTGATAAAGTTGCCCTGCAGAGTAAAATTCTGCATGGAATTTTTTTTTTTTTTTTTAGTTTCTTTCATGTTAATTTTTGCTTATTTCACTTCTAAGTAAGATTTCTAAGTAAGATATTGAAAAGTTTTGCATGATTTTTTTTTCTTCAATGGAAAGTTAGTTAATTTTTTATTAGAATAATTAATATTTGTATTAAGGGATATAGCTTATTTCATTGTAATTTTTTTCTCTTGAAAATATAAGATAAAATATCATTAATTATACTTTGATTTTCAGAATTTTTTGTTTTTTGTATTCTTTTATGTTATTTATTGCTTATTTCACTGTTTTTCAGCTATTGAAAAGTTTCGAGTGATTTTTTTAGGAAACAAAGTTCTTAAGATTTTGCAAAGGGAAGTTGGTTAATTTATTTGTTAGGATAATTAATATTTGTATTAAGCAATATTGCTTATTTCATTGTAATTTTGTTATACGTAATAACTTTTTTTATGAAGTTGTTCTGCACAGTAAACTTCTACACAGCTTTTAAATTTAACGTTTGGTTTTCCCTTCAGCCATTTTTCTGGTACATTTAAAAGCCAGACGAAGGCTGGCAGTGAAGCTGCTAGTATATATATATGTTTGGTGTATTGTACAAAAGTTTAAAATTTGTGTTTCACAGGAAAATATCTTCCTGAATATGAATACAGTGCAGGAACAACAAGAATTACTTATTTATGCTAAATGACCACAGTAATTATATAATGCGATAAAATTTTTTAAAACACTCAACTTGTTTCTCTGTTTCCAAATCATGGTTTATTGCTTTTAAAATGATGCAAACATCTAATTGCAGCTCATCAATTTTCCTGAATTCTAACCTGTGGCTCTTTCTAATATGAAATCTGTCTACTTTTGTTACAGAACATTTAATCTGTCTACTTTTGTTACTTTCTCAATAGCAAATTGAATGCAAAATTTATCACAAAAATTGCCATTTGATTTTGGTTATTATTTTCTTCCACTTTTGTTTCTAGTTATTTACCAGTTTGAAGATTTTTGAAGAACAGTATGTTTACCATACTTTATTTTATTCATGAAATATGATTTATAAAACTTATATTTGTTTACAGTTTCCATTTTACTATTGTCATCCTTTCACATTTAAGTGGCACAGAAAAAATAAATGCTTTGAAATCACATCCCTGTGCTTATCACTGTCATTTAAATGCATATATCTATAGTTTTTTTGCATGTCATTAAAGTTTCTCAAATTTAAATGTGATTAGTTTATAAAGCACTGTGATTAGTTTATAATTTCAAAAAAAAAAAAAAAAAAAAAAAAAAAAAAAAAAAAAAGGTCTACTTCACTACTTACAAAGCAGTGTCTTTATTAACATATTTAAACTGGCAAAAATCACATAGAAATGCATATAAATAGCAATCTTATAAGGTCAAACACATGGAGTAGCAAACTGTCTGAAAGAAATTTCAACTAGCCGAAGAGCAAGTGTTTCTTGTGTCTATTCCATTTACTTCCTACCTAGATGGTTATCACTAGTTTCTGCCACTAGCAAAACAAAAACTATCTTCTGTAGGCAGAAAGTCAGCCCTGATTTTAAATGTTGATAGTAATTATAATATTATCATTTTCTCTTTATTTCATAATATTCACATTAATAATATTATACAGCTTCTTGTTATAAATACAAAAGTAACTCAAATTAATGGTGTGCTTTGGAACCCAAATGCCAACTTTGCTCAAGTGGCTAATTTTGGTGCATACTAATTTAGTCAACAAAAAATTTCCATTAACAGATTTTTTTCCCCAGTTCTTTTAACCTACTAGAAATAAGATAAACTTACAAATGCTCTAAATAATTTTTAAAAGCTTACTATGTACATATTTTCTTCTCTTAATAAGACAGTGCAACTCTAGTCAATGAAATGCTCTAATTAATTATTAAACAATACACCATAAATATTTTGCAGCTGTTTAATGTTAACTATTATTACAATACTAGCAGCCAATCAGCTAAAAATAAATTCAAGTTATTGCAAATTACTATATAGCAAACTTAAAATATGATTCACCTGATGTTCCAGTGGTGGATGAGGTAAAACTAAAACATTTTCATCAAATACTTTAGGTTTTATATCTGCTTTTTCTTGGGACTTTAAAGTAGGCAATGGCGGATAAAATCTTCTAGCTGAAATTTTTATGAAACTTTAATTAAAAGATTATAGTTTTTTAGATGTTAGTAAATGCCTAAGATGCTTTCATCTTCGCAAATTAGAAATCAATTTTATAAAGCTAAAACAACTCAAGAACCTTCTGCCAAATATTAATTTCATTTAACTAATATGAATTTAAAATTCTAAATAAGTATATTTATAAAATAGGAAAGGAATACAGATATAAGAATATATTTTTATATTTAAAATAATATTAGTTAATAACTTGGTATTATAAAGTATTCTCTCCCTTCTTTCTGCATGCCTTCATGGTATAACAGTAGCACACTGCAGCGTGTATTCAACAGATCCCGATTCAAGGGCATTGCTCCTTTTTCACATTTCCTGCTTTAAAAAATCCTAATGATTCTACAGTGGCACCTAAACTAAAAAAGTGGTGGATGATGATTCTTCACCAGCAGGATTTGGCGATTGGGTCCCCTAATCCCCAGTCGCCCTTTAAAAGGGGAAGTATATAAAGTATTCTCTCCCTCCTTTCTGCACGACTTTGTGGTGTAACGGTAGCACCCTCGGCGTGTATTCGAGATGTCCAGGTTCGAGCCCAGCGAGGGCATTGCTCATTTTTCATGTCTCCTGCTTCAAAATAACCTAATGACAGAAAAAAAAAAGCTGAATGGAAATGCTAATTTGCATTGAAGAAGTAAAAAAATTAGCTATTTCTCATTCTATTGTTATAAATCAGAACATGAGATATACTTTTATCAACTAAAAGGACAATTTATAAATGGAATCTTATGGAGATCTGAAGTTTTCAAAATTATTGGTGGTGCAGTTTTTGAAACTGAAAACTATAGAAATTAAATTTGTAGCAAAGCAGTTTTAAATGCAAAGTTTGCTTTAATTTTACTTCACATTTTATGACAATAACAATTTTAAATATTAAGAACAATTCTAAAAAGAAAATTCAGCTTAATTCCATTACTATACAGCTCATTATAAATAGGTAATTAATGCTTAGGCAAAACATCCTTTAATTGACATATATGAACAAAATTGTTTCCAACACTTAAATACGGCTAGTGCAACTCGTGTATCACCAAAAAATTTATCTCTTGATAAAGCTTGATATAATTGTAGACCACCTGTTACTTCCAATGTTCATATGCAAGAAATTCTCCTGTGCCATCTCATTATCAACATGAAACAATCATAATAAAAAAGTATTATTCTTATGACCAGAAAATACTTGCATGTAATAGAAATTAATTAATAAAAGCATAAACCGTATAAATGTATACATCTTGGTCATATTTCCTTTTAACCTGTTTTATTATTTGTATATCATGTCATTCATTTAGTTCCTTTTTGACCTGTTTTATTACTTGTAAGTCATGAATTATTTATAATATATCCAGTATTAAATAAAAACTAAATGTAGTACTTGTCCTTGTAAAATGTAGTACAACTTCCTTGCTGTATACCTTGAAAATGACTTGGAATTCCTGATTTTAAAATTGTGCATCATGTACGCATTCAGTATTTCTAAGTAGGTCAAACAGTACATCATAAATATAAACAAAACATACTATCTTCCACTAAAGAAATGTTTAATTTGTTTCATAGAATCAAAATATGAACTCCTGTCCAGTCTTTCTTATCTAATCGCTGTATCTTATCTCGTTCATTTGCGCTTTTGCAGCTGAGGATGATAATTTGGTAAAACCATCGAAACTAGTCTTGTGAAAATTTGAAAATATAACGCTGATTTTTGTTGTTTGACTTCTAAATTAATACATCTCCATTTATTTAAGGTACTTTAGAATTTTCAATAGAGTCTTTTATCTTAACTCTAGAAGCATTTACTTCTTTAAATAATGCAAAGAGTAGGCTCCATTGATAGGATTCTAGATAAACATTTCTTTAAAGATAGCCAGTATGCACATATAGGTTTAAAATGTTTCTTATTTTAGTATTATAGTGGTTGGAATTGTTTCAATGTTTCCTTCCTCTTAGAAATCTTTACAAGATAATATTAAATATCAATAATGTGTTCATCCACACTTATTGGCAAAGAAGCAGACCTTTTTTTCAACTGCGAAATTTAAGAGGTGAGATGTGCACCTCATAATTTGCAAATCTGAATTTTCTTTTTTTAACACATGCCTGCAACATCAGTCTTGAAGACTATTATCCCTACTGCATTACCGGCACTAAACGCTAAGCAGTTTTCCTGAAGAATTGCAATTTCTTTTAAAATTTTAATAATTAGCTGTGCTACAAAGTTGGCTGTGGAATCTCCTCCTAAAGTTAGGGTAGAAAGTAAACTACACTCAATTTCTGAACACTCTGGATTTTAAAAAGAAAGAAACAACAGCTGGATACAATTTTGCATCAGTATTATTGCTTCCATCCATAGAGAGGCAGAATGGAACTGTTTTAATGCAATCAATAACTGAAGATTTATTTTTTATACCAATTTCTTGGAACTATTTTTTCTACAACTGCAGCCGTTTTTGTCCTTGCGCTCAAGTAGTTCACTGCCGGGGAGCATTTTTTTACATAGAGCTGCAGCATGATCCAATGCATTCAGTAACAGGTTGTGCTCTAGTAAAATGGCACATAACAGGCATTCCGTATTAATAATAGTCCTTCCACAGAAAAATTAAATTTTTTTCCAATACAACTCACTTTGTTCTTGTGTATGCACATGTCTAAGAACATTGGCCCTTTCATCATACTAAATCAAAAAATCACAATGAGGAATGGCACACATTCAATATTAAATTTCCTTGACAAAGTAATAGAAGAAAAGTCCTCTGTGTACGATTTTTTTAAAAGTGCATGAGTATTTTACATTTTTCGCAGACATAACTATGACAAAAGATAGCAGTTTCTGGGAAGCACTTGAAACTTATGCTGCTCACTAGCGAGATGAATGAAATAACAATCTCCATCTTACTTTATGCTCATTGGCTAATATATACCAGATGACCCACAACAACCCTTGATTTTTATTGGAGAACTGGAACACGACATTTTCGGGCTCTCACACACAAAGCAGAAATGGGCCATATCTTACTAATGAAACAACTTCGATTTTCTTTTATATGTATCTAGAGAGAAAATAACCACTTTTAGATGCACGAAAATTATTATTTTGGTAGCAAATCTCAAAGTATTAAGCCAAACTGCATAAAAAATGTGATAAATTTTAAGAATAAGAAAGTTGGAAGAAATATGGTGCAAATTGGGTTGGTGGGAGTATCGCATCTAAATCGGAAGAGTTGGCAACTCTGCTAATATAACCCACTAACACAGCAAAACAGTTCTTTACACTTTGAGAAACCTGTGTTGGAATTCAATCAGTAGCATTGCGGCTGTAACAATAACATAATCTATTGTTATTTACCTCTTAGAAATTTATATAATTCATCAAACAGATATCCAATAAATCATCTCCTTTTATAAAAATCTTATTTAACATGGTATATTCTGTTATCGGGATTTTATTTTTAACAATTTTAAAAGCAATTGCTGTTAGAATAATGTGATGCAAGGAGCAAAAAATGAAACTAAATTAATATATTATAAACTCTAAAAAACATACTCGTTATAGTCTACAATTATTTCACAATTTTTTTTTAATTCAATTTTTAAAAAATTCAGCTTTTTAATTTTAATATATTAGTTCTAAATACACACTAAACAATATAATTTCAACAATCATAAAGAAGGAAAACATTTTTAAAATGAAAGTACTTAAATTCCTTCACATTTTCTCTCCCTTTTGAGAATTATATATAAAAACATGAGATCAATACTGCAAGATGTTTAAAGTATCTTGGGCTCTTAAGCATGAAATTTCTACTAAACAGAGGAAAATATATTTCAGTGTTACAAAGAATTTAATTTACTTAAAAGAAATCTTAATTATAAAATATCAAAGAAAACTCAGAATTTCTCTGCTTTGAACAATTTTTCACTTTAAAGTCAGTTACAACAATGCATAGAAATATACATTTAAAAAAAGCTTAAGAGTTTTTAAAATAGATGCTACCACAGTAGTCTATCCCACAGCATTAAGTTTAAAAGTCAATAGTTAATATGGCACTTGTCTTCAGTAGTGGCCTTTGCACAATTCGGGCTTAACCCATTCATGTGATCATGCGATTCTCCCTTCAAGATCAATGGTATCATGTATGTGACCAGCTTACACACCAGTTACTGAATCTTGAGGCCTGTGATCACAGTGCTGGTTTCAAATCAGAATGTTTTATTTCAGTTCTTAAATGACACAAGATGGTGGTGGAAGTCTGTGTCATTTAAGAACTGTTTTTCATTAATTTTCAAATAATGCTTCACAGAGCTTTGACCTTCAATATGCCCTCTTGGTTCTGATTTTTTTGTCTGTTGAATCGGGGAAATTTTAATATGTAATCAAGTGCATAAACGGCTGCATTTTATTGGGCACTGTATGTTTTTGTTTAAATTTTGACGAAGTAGTCAAGGGGACAGTGTATAGTATGGGGGGAAAAAAATGTCCTAAAAAAATAAAAAAATAATAAATAAATAAGAAGAATTCAGGTTAACTAATTATGAACGCAAAACTTGCAACATTGGGCTTTGTCCTGAATAATATTTGAATGTGTATCATAACCTTCAAACTTTTTAATCATTAGTAATGTTTTTACATTTATCTCATACTTTGTTATATTAAATTTTCTAATAAAATATTAGAAAATTTAATAATGCATATAAGTTTATAATTGTGTATCTCATATGTAAGTTTATAATTTTTTTTTCATTTATATATACTGTTGAAAAAAATGGACAGATCAATTTTTATATTTGTTAAAAAGCCGCTAATCTAGCACAAAATATATAACTAAATGCTAACATGACTTTACTAAATGCAAATAATTCACCCATTTGTTATATTTATGACATTTATTTGAACATAATATGTAGTTTAATTAATAATCTGTTCAAAGTTTTAATGTCAGTTACATTAGTTAAATTATTATTGGCTGTTTGAGTTTTTGTTCCATTTACATCATTAGCATTACATATAAGAATCATATAACATGGATAAGTCTCAAGATGACGCAGTGTGAAAAAGAGATTACTATTTTTGAATACAGAAGTGATATACCACATTAAAATTATACATGAAAGGACCATGGCTAATTTAAATTATAACTTATCTTTTACTTTTCTTATATACATATATAAAAGCAATTTAATATAAATTTCTATTTATTATAGTAATACAATATCATCAGCAGTTTATTTAAAATAATGAGATACAAGTAATTCAAGCAAACTTAAATTTAATATATACATTAATTATCATATTTAGCACAATTATGTGAACAATTTATTCAAAATAACATTTATAAACATGCTAGACAATTTTATTATTTTACTTAACTTGTTAGCCATTTATTAAACACACAAACACACATATAAGGAAAAAATTCAGCATTTATTCAAACAAATAAAAAATCTAAACTTTATTAGGAAAATATAAAATAATTAATTTGCAAATGGATTTGAAAACAAATTAGCTCTTTTACAGCAACAAACAACAACACATTATCTTTGATATTTGAAATATATATATATATATATATATATATAAAACATTATTTTATACAGATACATGCAGCATACTGAGAAAGAAATATAAATTATGTTACATTGTTAAAATGTCATATTATGAAATTAGACATATTTTTTCCCTAATTTAAAATGTACATAATTGCTTAAATTTAATTCAGGACTTGCATAATACAAGAACTAGAGAGTTTTCTCTCAAAACAATTTCAGATAAATAAGACATCCTTTAATTCAAATTTATTAAAAAAATATGTTTAACAAAAATTTACAAACTGAAGTATACATTGGCACAAAAAACAATAAAAAGTATTAACAGATAAATATTTTACATACTAGTAAATTTCGGTTTATGCAAATTAACTGTCTTTGGAGGTGATTCAACATCAGGCACTATCATTGATTTATTTTGCTTATATTCTTCTTCAAACATCTGATACTGTATCTATATTACATAGAAATTTCAGTTATTTTAAAGATAATGATTAAAGTAAACATAAAGAACAGACAAATATATGCATACGCTATATAGATAAAATTAATGCGTAAATTAAAAAGCCTATGACCTGCACTAAATCGGCAAAGTGTAAGTGTGTGTGTGTATATATATATGAAAAACTGTGAATTTCTGGGATGTTTTTGCACAACACAACACAATATTAAAAAAAAAAAAAAAAAAAATTAAATGCCTTAAATTCACTTTATAAAGCATGATTAAGATTACTAAACTATTTATTAAAATGGTTCTGGTGTAAAATATGTTACTATCAGGTATTTTAAATTTTACATTGTTTGGCTAAATTTTTTATTTTGTATTTTTCTTATACCTTTATAAACAGAAAATCTAGGGGGAAAAAAAAAAAAAAAACTTTTACTTATCAAACAGGGTTCATACACATTTCCTTACATGAAAATTAAGGACTTTTAAGGACCATCAAAGAAAAAAAGGACCATCGCAAACAAAAAAATTAATTGAATAAGCAATTATCCATTACAAAACCGACTTCATACTTGTAATTTCACTTTAAGAAACTAACAGAAGTATGTATTATGCACGATTATTAAATTCAATTTAATACTTACCATAAACAATTTTGAAATTAAACAACTCCCCTACAAGTTATGAAGTAGATAACATTAAATTAGGAATAGAATTCTTGAAAAACAGTTATAGTGTATTTTCACTAATAACAGTCACTATTTTAGAGATTACATGATTATTATTTAACTTATTGATATTTATTTCAAACAGTCACTACTATTATCACAATGTAAGAATATTTTGCAGATTAAAATAACTGAATTGTAAACATACAATTATTTCCTTGTTTTTTGGAAAGATACTAGAATAATAAACTATACAATAAAGATACAAAACATTTATGCTTTTTTTAAATCTGAAATCTTTTCAGCTATTTTAACATCTAATTATTTATGTCTATTTCCTTTTCTTTAACTATCTTCTAAGTTCATTTGCTTGATAAACAAATCAATGTTCCTGCTGTCTCAGCTTCATCTGCTAAAGCATCTTACTTCTTCATTAATATCTTTAATGTCCCTTTGAAGAAATTTTTTTTCTGCTTCATAAATCCAATTTCTTCTCAATAATATTTCTTTCCTTTTGAAGTTTCAGATTAGTTAAAGATTTTGTTCTTCTAAATACTGAACTTCTAAATAACAACTCCATTCTTGCAGAAACTGCTGCTGATCTCATTTCTTTATTAATTTCGATATTAGAACCTCCAGAAAATTTATGCAAGTTTAATTAAAGTAGAATTATTTTAAAAGAGTGAATCCATACTGGTAAGTTATATTTTGAAAGAGTATGTATATATATATATATATATATTATATACATATATATACATATATAATCATGAAATGTAATTTCTCATACATTATTTGTTTTGTGCAGCCGGGGGGGGCAACAGGAATGAGACAAATTTGGAATATAAAGTGGTAGGTTTATTTAGCATCCATCTCACAAGCGTTCTCTTCGTACCTTGAGCAGAAGCCCTACTTATACATATGTGTACGTCACGAGGGCTCCTCCAATCAGCGATATTAATTGAAATCACGAGGTGACGCTATCTTCTCATCAGGAGTGTTCTTAAGTACTTTATGTAATATGACAGATTTATGAGTTTGGCGATTTGGCGGGGCGCCAACAACAGGTTAATATATTTTATACTAAAGAAAGGATTTCGCCAAAATTTAGGAACAGGGATGCAATTTAGGTAGAGAATCGCCAACACATTATTAAGCAATATTATTAGAATTTAATTTAATCAATTGATTTAAAAATATCATTACAGATTATCCCCCCCATCTGAAAAGGCTTGCAGTCGCGGCCGTCGACCCAAGACAGTCCAGATAGTGAGAGCAGAAAATTTAGTTATTAGGAAATTAAGTGAGTAGGAAAACTGATTGGATTTACCTCAAGGCACACAAAATGTTTATAAAAATATGACATAAAATATTTGAATATAATATAATATAAGATTAATAAATTATAATACAGTATAAAATATAATAAATGATTAATGAAATTATAATATAGTAACTAAGTGCAGAACAAATAAAGCACTAATAACATATTGCTGGTTAGCTACGCGGCAAATAGGAAATAGTAATATAACTGAATTTGTAAGTTTATATCTTAGGGCATGCCATTCACAGTTTGTGTATGAGTCCGTACAATCATTAGAGTTGTCATTCAGGCTCATCTTCAGTCTTTTACTGGTCTTTGGAGATCTCCGGATCATTTAATTAGCGCTAGAATTATGGATCAGCATTGGCACTGAAAACATTTGAGTTTTTATGTCACGATACTAGAGCTCTTATACTCTTGTTGAAAATACACATTTTGCTAGGTTTTTAACATATTTTGTCACTCTATTTTTCTCTTATTAATGATAACAAAACAAAATTTAACTTCCAACATCCATACCAGTTTTTTGTACACGATGCTGCTGCAGAAACATAAAAATGAAATTCAGAAATTTCAACAACTGAAATTTAACTTTTTCAACTGTTGCTACAATTTATAACACAAAAACATAGGAAAACATGAGCTCAAGGAAATGTGAGGGTATAGTACTCTACTTGTAGTATAGCCTCAATTGAGTGTTTCCCACACGGAAAGTGCATTGAACCTGAAACTCAAGTTTGAAGGAGCCCAGTAAAAGAAAAGGGCAGACAAACTTTTCAGACACTGAGAGATAAATCAACTATTAAGGGGGACAACAGGATGAAAACTAAAAGAAGGGTTATGGATAGTTTATTGATTTATAAATTTTGATTTATTCATGATGTAATTTAAAGTTCTCGGGTGGATAATAGAACCTTAATTTTGACGCATGTACAATCTCAGTTGGTTTCTTCGTGTGAAAATTTTCCCTGTCGATTTCATAATTAACTTCAGATAATTTATTCATAATCTGATAAGGGCCTGAATAGGGTGAAGTCAATTTTCTAGTATTTGGGTATTCGAATTCCTCGTAAAGGACAAAATCTCCAGGTTGAAATTTAGATTCTACAAATCTGATGTCATATCTAGTTTTATTCTTTCGGTGGTATTCGATAGTTCTTTTCTTTGCTAAAGCCCTTGCTTCATTTAAGGAAGGGTATTTATTTTGATCAATTGGAGATTCAAAAGGGAGGTTACCAAATAGTAAGTATGCTGGGGTGAACTTAGTTACCGTATGAGGGGAGTTGTTATATTCGATAACAACTTGCTCTAGCACTTTAGTCCATGGTACTTTTTTAGAAGAAGAATTTACTTTACATTTTAGTCGACTTACTATTGATTGATTTACTCTTTCTACTTTACCATTTGTCTGGGGATGGTGAGATGAAGTTAAAAGTTGTTTAACATTATGCTTTTTAAGAAATTTTTTGAATCTAGAGGAAGTGAAGGCTGCATTCCTGTCACTCAGAATTTTTTCGGGGACTTGTATTTGAAATATTTGTTTTAGACAATTGGCATAGGTTTCTGAAGTTACACTTTTAGAGGGAAAAGCCCAGACATATCTTGTTGCATGGTCAATAACTATATGTAAATATTTTTTGTAGAATAGAAATTATATAATTAAATCCTCCCACAGTGTCAATAGAGAGACATTCGAAAGGTTTGTCGGTTGGGGGTACGTCTTGCATAAGACCAAATTTTTTCTGTTTTTTCTTTTTATTAAGTTGACAAGTATGACAATGTTTAACAAAATTTCCGATATCTTCGCTAATATGAGGCCAATAATATTGAGGGGTGATTAAGTTAAGCATAATTTGAACTCCCGGGTGACCAAAATTTTCATGGGTTTTATTCAACAATTTTAATCTTAAAGATTTAGGTACTACAATTTTATAAAAATTCTTTTTCTTAATTACCATCATATCATTTATCTCTTGGTAATTTTTTCCGCAGACATTATCAGTTTTTTGTTGTTGGATTATTTCATTTCTATCAAGTAAATGTACATAATGTTGGAGGTGCTGTGAAACAGGATGTCTAGAAAGCATGTCAGCTTCAATATTGGTAGAGCCCTTCTGATACTTTTACTTCATAATTGAACATACTTAGTTTGAGTGACCAACGGAAGAGTCTACCTTTTAAATTTTTAACATTTTTGAGCCAAACGAGGGCCGCATGGTCCGTATGTATAACAAATTTTTGTCCATGCAGATAGTAATAGAATTTGTCTAGGGCATCTACTATGGCCAAACATTCTAACTCAGTAATCGTATAATTTTTCTCATAATTTCTTAAAGTTCGGGAATGATATGATACAGGGTGAAGGACATCATTTTCATCTGGTTGTTTCAAAACAGCTCCAACAGCAGTTTGAGAAGCGTCAACAAAAATATGACATGGCCTACTGGAATCATACAATTGTAAAACAGGTTTGGAAATCAGTATTCTTTTCATTTCGTCGAAAGCTTTTTGACATTGGTCATCCCATTCCCACTTGACATCTTTTTTCAAGAGTCTGTTTAATGGAGCTCTAATAGTTGCATAATTCGGAATGAATCTATGATACACATTCACACTTCCCAAAACTCTTTGTAACTCTTTGGTGTTACTGGGGTTTTTTAAGTTTCTTAATAACTTCTATATTATGGTTATCGGGAATTATTATTCTACCATTTTTTATTTCATAGCCAAGAAATGTGATCTGATCTCGGGCGAACACACACATTTGTTTCGATTCAATTTAATATGCTCCTCTTTAAACACCTCAAATAAAATTTTTAAATGTTCTAAATGTTCCTTCTCAGAGGAAGAGTAAACGATTATATCATCAAAGTAACTGCAAGCGAAATTAATTTTATTTTTTGTTAATATTCGTCTAATTGTTCTGTTAAAAATTGCAGGAGCATTTTTGAAACCAAAAGGGAGTCTTAACCATTCGAATAATCCAAAATTCGTGCAAAAAGCTAATTTCTCAGTATCTGCAGGGTGAATCGGGATATGCCAGAAACCAGATCTCAAATCAATTGTAGAAAATACTTTTGCTTTACTTAAATTTGTCTAACAAAGTGTCAATGCGAGGAAGAGGGTTTGCATCTGTTTTAGCCAGGGAATTCAATTTTCGATAATCTATACACAATCTAGTTTTTTTTACCTTCCTCAC